GTCCGTCGTCTTCTCTCTGTCTCGAGCTGTGTGTGGATACCTATAGGCATTTTTAGACGCCTACACTCCCTGTTCTCCTTCCAAAACTTCCCGTTCTCGTAAACCTCCTTCTTCCAGATCGACACCGACGCCTTCACCTCATTCGATCACAAACCGGCACGCCTCGATCGCGTCGGATCTGTGGACGGCTGATGTCGCGACGAATACGCTGGCCTTGCCGACGGGGACGGTGCCGAGGCGGTGGGAAACGGCGCCGCGGCGGGGGAGCGGACGTGGGCGGTGTCTTGGCGGGGTCCAGGTGGGGGGAGGTGGCGGGGTCCAGCTCTCTCCTCTGCACAAATAAAAAAAGGAAACAAAGGGTATTTTGGGAATATTTATGTTGGTTTTAAACAACATATCACGTGGGGGGTGTTTTGGGGGCTAGAAGAAAATCGCGCAAGTTTTTGGGGGCAAAGAGCCCGTTGAAAAAGTCTTGGGGGGTGGAAGCATGTTTCTTTTGGTTTTGGGGGCTGGAAGCATTTTCCCCTTAATTTTATTATCATTATCCTTTTTTTATTAATGCAATTTAGTTGTCTTTCTGATTGCATCTGGTCTTGCCCTTAGGATTAGTCCTAGCTCCTTCTACTCAGTTGTTGAGGTTATCTCTTCTTGTTTTTCCAGAGAAAAACGTTTTGGGAATCAAATTCACTTGGTATGAACTAGTATACGAAAAATATTGATGTTAGTTTCAGCTGCAATGATTTCAATGGGGAGTATTTAGCATATATATAGTCTACTTGGTTATTGAGAAACTGGCATTTGACATAAATAGTTTCAACCAGGATTCTATATATACCCCAAACGATTTTAGGGTTTGTACTACATCAAAAAGAGAGTTTTTGACTGCAAAGAGAGAGAGAATCTCAGAGAGATTAACCCCTTGTTTGAGAGCTTGTATTTTCTTCTTCAATTAATAAAGAGATTGTGTGTTGTGGCTCCCGAGGACGTAGGCACGTTGCCGAACCTCGTTAAATATGTGTGTTCATCTCCCTTACTGTTTTTTTACAAGTTAGATCTTTATTTGTGGTTTTATTCCTACTTTCAACACAAGGTCCGGAAGGGCAAGGGTTCGATTGATTGTTTCGAATCCCCAACAGCTCTCTCCTCCGCACAAATAAAAAAGGGAAGCAAAGGGTATTTTGGGAAGATTTATGTTGGTTTTAAATAGCATATCACGTGGGGGGTGTTTCGGGGGCTAGAAGAAAATCACGCGAGTTTTTGGGGTAAAGAGCCTGTTGAAAAAGTCTTGGGAGGAGGGAGCACGTTTTCTTTTATATATTTTGGGGGCTGGAAGCATTTTTTCCTAACTAATTTTAAGGACAAAGCTGTGTGTGTGGGTGGGTGGGTGTGTGTTTCATAGGGGGGGACACACCCACGTGATGGGTGTGCCCCATCCCTTCGCCCGCGTTTTGTGGGCGGCTGTCCCTCGTGTGGCCACGATGAACTCGTGGGCACGAGTTCGTGCCGCCTGCGCCGCTTGCCTTCCCGCGCGCGCGTTTCTTTTTCCCGCGTTTCCTCTCCCGCCAAACTCAGCTCTCCCCCCCTTTATTTGCTATAAATTGAGGTGGTGGTGAGTTGAGAGAGGGGGTGGGGAACATTGTGGGAAATACAATTGAATATTGTGTGAGCCTTTTTAGAGAGAAAAGAAAAGTGAGTGAGAGAGAACTTGTAAAGTTTGGTATTCTCCTCATAGTGAAACCCCCTCCCGTGGACGTAGGCTAGTTTGCCGAACCACGTAAAAATCTCGTGTTTGTATTTGTTTTATCTGTGAGTTATCATAGCTTGTAGGTTCCCTCAATATTCGGTCTTAGAGCTGATGAGAGGAAGAGTGTATATTTCACTTTGATGAAATATATCACTTTCGATTCTTGTTTCCTTTGAGAAATAAGAATTTCACTATCTATTCTTGTTTCCTTTGAGAAACAAGAATATAAAGGTTGACTTGTGTTTTTGTGATAACAAAAGCCAGGGCTATCTCTCAGGTGATATCGCTTCCGCGGTGGTGGGCGTGACTCTGCGCCCAACAATTGGTATCAGAGCCTTATTCAGACTGGAGGTGGTAAAATTTCTGATCTGAGGTGGTGGTTGAATATTATGTGGTAAAACACAAAGAAATTGTTAAAAATTCCTGAGAGAAGCGGATTTACATAATACAAGCGGAAAATGGCGTCTACAAGTAAAACAAATAAAATTGGAAAGTACGAGATTGAAAAATTTAATGGGAAAAATGATTTTTCCTATTGGAGGATGCAGATGAAAAATTCGCTGATTTCGCAAAAGTTGCACAAGGCTTTGGCTGGAAGAGAGAAGCATAAAAATATGTCTGATGAGGATTAGGAGGAGCTGGATCTGGAAGCACGGGCGTCGATTATCCTTTGCCTTGAAAGGGATGTAGCTTTCTTGGTGGACGGGGAGGAAACGGCTACGGGCGTGTGGTTGAAGTTGGAAAGTACCTTCATGACGAAGAGTCTAACGAACCGGATCTATTTAAAATCCAAATTGTATACTTGCAAGATGGAGGAGGGCTCGTCAATCCGGGAGTACATCAACAAGTTTGATAGGATCTTATCAGACTTGAAAGACATTGAGGTGATAGTGGAAGACGAGGATCAGGCGTTTCTACTACTTCTATCTCTTGTTTGGGTCAAAAGTTGGTCTCGTTGTGGAATTCATTATATCTTCGATCGATTACAATAAATTCAAAAGAAATAGTCTTTTTATAAGACCTCTTTTACACAACAAAATGAAAATTACAACTCTTGAGAAACA